TAATTATTTTAATACGAGTTCAGTGATAAATTCAATGACTGGCCAGGCAAAGATTCTCGGTCTGTGGATACCTTTTGCAGAGAGTTTAGGCAATGTACCAGTCCTAATTTGGCGATTTATGCGCCAGGTAGTGGTGTGCAACCACGAAAATGTGCAAACGGTTAGAGTTTAACGTTGCATAAAATGTAGTGTAAGCACGCACATGCTACGCTGATTAAGACTGAAACAGCGTTACATTTTACACTAGCGTTGAGCGTATCGAAAGTTAAGGGTGCATCGAAAGCTAAAGCTTGAACACATATACTGCTCAGGCCGTTATGTTTGAATGTTCATAGTACTTTGTTATACTCAGATTTGGTATAACTATTGAGTTCTCACAATAGAAAAAAGAAAATATTCTCACTTTCGGTTGATAGAAAAACTCCACTTGCTGACAGCTACCAATCATTTCGCTGCCAATTATGAGTCTTCACTGCATGCCGACGGTCGGGTGCTTAGAACCAGTTTTCCCCGCGTTATTTCATACAATCGCAATAGACCGATCTCACCAAGCGTCCGGCGCATGCGTGACGCCGCCATAACTTTAGTTCGCAAGAGGCAGGCAGCAATGCACAAGACGGCTCGTGCCAGCTCATGCTCCACACGTGCAGAGCTCCAGCAAGGTTGTCGCACGTGCAGAAAGACTAAAACTCCCTCGATGCATTGCGGCAGCGGTGGCGTAGTCAAACTGGCTGGTGAGATCGGTCTATTGTTCTTGATAAACAACATTGTTTACTCTCGCAAATGGTCACACGTGAAGTTTAGAATATTTTGTACTGATTGTGACACACGTAACACGTAGCTATAGTCTTTTTTTTTAATTCGCGAAATAGAATGCTCCGGGTTACCTTGGTCTCTAATGTATGTAGCACACAAAAGAGCGCGAGCTCAATCACTTGAGAACTGAGGGCTATGCACAAATGCAGAAGGTAAGCTTTGTTGCACTAAATACATTACAAGTAAAGTATTTGGTTTTATCATGAAAGCGAAGCGGATCATACACGCGCGAGCATGATGCCCTGAACTACTTTTCCAGTGAACAAGCGCACCGTTCAAAGCATAGAGCTTGCTTTTATAGCTTTTGGTGCGCTCAAACATTTTAAAACACAAATATAATCAACTTGATCATTTCTTTTCTTTTTACTAAATGCGACAATGTTTTATCTTTTTTTTTTTTGCGTTACCGTGTCTATTTTTAGTTAAATAATATTTTCCAGAAGTCCGACAACTATGGTCTGTTTCATCATAAGTAAGAGTCGCTTAATCAAAAATGTAGACACACAAAGAAAAAAAAGGAACGCGAACGCGCGAACACACATTAAACATGCAATGTAACGGCACACTCAAAATTAGTCGTTTGTTTTTAAAGAGCAAGAGTTTCGTAAGACGACAAATGTTACCCGTTGCACATTATAAATTTAGCCAGTGCAGTACAACAGTTCGCTCGGGGTATTTCAAGTGCATCACGCAGTATATGTGATACACGATCGCGCGACGATAGGATCCAGATGGGCGACAGAACGCAGGGCCCCTGCTAAAGCTCCTTGATAAAGGCGTTCTTACAAATACCGCCAACCATTGTTGTGGAAACGTGCAAGACACATGCCACGAGCGGGTGCTCTACCGCCAGTCGCTTTCAAGGGCCAGTCATTTTAGTGCAGCGCCGCCTTTTGCCTCCAAGGTCCGCTCAAGACACGGGCCTCGTGCACCGGCACATTTGACGTTACTTAAACGACCAAAACAAACACATCGAGGAGCTTTAGTCCCTCCAGCTTCTGCAACGTTAGCTCTGTGCTTTGAACGGAGCTCGCACTCGGCCAACGATCCCCCCATTTGGTTTAGCCTGTGAGGTAAACCAAATGAGCTACACTTAGAGTATCGGCACTCTTTTCCCCGATATTTGTTGTGGGCGCCGTCATCTTGGGGGTTAGAACAAATCAAACGCAACTGCCGATCGGGATGATTCAGAACGGCGAGTTCTTAAGCATTAGTTTCTGTGTAAGGAAGCCCACGTAATATCGTTTTGTTTTGTCGCGAACTGTTTAAACATTTTTGGAGGACGGAAAAGCGCACCTTGCGATTTCAGATAAAGTTTCAGATAACTGACAACCATCATTTTAAGCACCAAGATATGTATGAAGCGTAGCTTATTTAATATTTCTAGTTTAGCCTGACCGCACAGGCACAGAAAGAGGACGAACTGCTGACCTCGCGCTCTTGACGCTGCTTCAGTGGCTTCATCAGCCCGTAAAGTTGGCTGCTTTACGGGCAAAGTAAAGCAAAGTAAGTATTCAGAAAGTTTTACAAGCCAAACCAACAAATATTACTTAACGCGCCCTAATAAAAATAAATGCGGGTCAATTCTGACTAACTGGACATCTTTTAGCGTGTAACCGAAATCACAGATTGGCCTCCGTTAGACTGCGGGCACCTCGGCCGACATTTCAAACCGACAAATATAGATTCATGAACCAGCACGTTGACTCATAGACACTGAGAGGCTTAATATTCTGTGTTTTGTTTCAATATCATTGCCACTTAAGAGCCACCGAGGTGGCTCGTGAAACAAGATATGGTCGAACCATTCCAACAAACATAGTTTGATTGCAAAAATGATTTTGCAACTGGTAAAAACATTCAAGTCTTTTCGCATAGGTGTCGGAATCCGAAATGGCAGAATCCCTTTCATGACCCCTATTTAATTCAGCTCGCGACAGCTGTGTGTACGACGCACAGTATAACGCGCGCAAAAGCAGCTGTGGTGCACCCGCAGCCTCGCGCCTGCTGTTCTGACATTTCTGGCTCGCTCACTGCAGGCATCCTGGCTTCTGATACCCTGACATCTGGCGCTTTTTCTGTCCTTCACCTGGCGTTCCGAGCGGCACTCAACGTAAAATGCACATCAAGGTATTCTTGAACATGTTTCGCCATCTGCATTTTATATTAAGAAAGTGCAATTTGCTGTAACTGAATAGGAAACGTTTGAGGTCTAATAACATTTTAACGCGTAATATGTTAATATGGAAGTTCTGTAAAATGGAATATCGAAGGAGGGTTCATAATTTAACGTCTCGTAATTTTGATTAGTTGGCATGATTCCGTTTTTATAACACCATCAAATAGTACCATTTTAAACTTTAATTTTCTTAATATACATTGTTTGTAGAGGTTGTTGCTGACTTGTTTAATTCATTATATCCAACAGAAGGTTCCCCTAAAATATTCTGGACCATGGGACGTTATAACCCGAGAAATATTTTTTTTTTCAATATTGGGGACTGTGGTCTATTAAAATGCTAAATAATTAACTAACAACTAAAAGTGATCAAATTATAGAGATATTAAAGTATTGTTGAAGAACAGCTCTTTAATTTTACATTAATTTTATAATTGTAGGATGCACCGAAAGAAAGTTATCAACCGTCAAAAAAGCGCCAAAACCTCATGCACGGTGAGTTTGCACCTTAAAGCATTCTGCACCTTTGACTGGATACCTTTGACAGCAGAGTCAGCCCCGAAGTAAGCTGGGCTTATATTTTTCTTAATTTATGTCATTGACGGCAATGCGGCAGATAATGATACGTCGTTGTTCACCATCGTCACAGAGAACAAAATTGTTCTGGTTCTTGCACGTGGACGATTGTTAATACTTATAGTTCTTTAACCAAAAACGTATAGCTATAGTGACAGACAACCAAAGAAACGCAGCGCACGGTTTATTATATCACTCTTCAGGCTTTTGTGTTGCGTTTTTCGGCGTTGCTTAATTAAATTGCGTTGCGTGTATGTTTACTTGGGAGAAGAGCGCGTTGGTTTAAGTCTGTGAAAGATGTGGTTGTGTTGTCCCTGTTTTAATTGTTTTATTCTTTCTTCATCCATGTGCATGTTTAGCCGTTGAGCTGTCAGTCATCCCCAGTGTGCATTTGGCCTCTAGTAGTAAATGAGTAATTTAGCCAGAGCAGTACATATCTGCTAGCCTGGGGTCTTTAACGTGCATCACACTGCATTGTGATACACTAGAACACGCCGGAACGATGCTTGTTCAGATCGAAACCGGCAGGGGTGAAGATTGAGCCCATTGTTCCTGGGTTCCGAAAAAAATAGACATGTGACTCCTCCACCATCTCTACGTTTGCCAGAAATTACGCCTTTCAACCACTTCCGGCCGTGTTAAAGCGTTTTTCTTAAACATCTTCAGTGAACCAAGTCTTTTTGACGACAGGACACATTGGCACAACTTCCACGCGATGCAATCTATACCTCGTTTACCTCTAGGTTCATATTGCTGGGGAGCAACGAGCCTACCGGGCTAATAAACAGTCTTTGTTTCAACACCTCTATTTCTGCTCATGAGTATGGACGCAAGCGTGATCACATGGAAAAAGGTATACACGTATGGCTGGTCCAAGGATCACGTAGCTTCCATCGCACTGTCAGTTTATTTGTGCAAAGAGTGCCGTATCTTTCGTACTAGAGCACGGAGGGGCAAATTTCGCTCGAAGAACAAACGTTTTTGGTTAGATAGTGCACGCACGACGCAACACGCGCCTAGTTCGAACGTGAAACGTTCTCGCACGCTGCTCACATCGACAACTTCCTTCAATATAAACTCACAAAAATGCATAAATCACTATTAACCTACACTTCCATTCACAGAATTGGTCACGTCTCGTTGTTATAACGAGCTAGGAAAAAAAAAAAAAAAAAAACTCGTAAAGAAGTTTACAAGTACGGCATGGGGGCACCTCCCTCGGGCTGCTGGTGCGGGTAGGTCGTCAAACAGTCAAGCATTGCTGAGGCGTACCCACAGCCTCAGCTATGCTTGACTATCAGACGCTTGACCCGCACCAGCATCAAAAAGGCGGCGCCCGGAGGCCCTACCTGCAAACGTCTATAGTCTCCATCTGTAGATATTCCGCACCACGTAAGAGTTCAACATTTAAACACGCACAGTCCTCGGACTATGGTTCACAGAGTGCTTTATACATACCGGTCTCGATGTAAGGCGGGAAGTCGTCTCCGCAGTACGGCTGCACTCCGAGAAGGAGAAAGTCGCTCTGCGCCGGGGAACCCAGCTCGAAGTTCTGGCACCGGTTGATGAGTACTTCGTCAGGGGCCCCGCGAGGTCGTGCACCGACGCCGAAGGGTCCCTGCTTGCTGAAGCGGACGGTGCAGGTTCCGTGTGCCTTCCTGAAGCAGACCGAGTAGCGCAGGTGGTTCGGGTAACCGCCTTCGGGTCTCGAGTCCGCGTCGTAATTGAAGCTGGACACCAGGCCGGATGGTTTCTCCTGGTACTGCAGACAGCCCGTCGGCGCTGCGGCGTTGGAAAGCATGGCCAATCAAGACTTAGCCGCTATCACACTTGTAATACATCATACAAACGACAACGTGCAGAAAATGTCTGAGGAGTGATTCTACCTTCTACGGGCGGAAGTTTCACACTGGTCATAGAAAAACCGTGTTCAGTCGTGCTCGAAGCATACATACATGTATGAAGCAAACATAATACGAACATGCTGAGGTGATCCAGCAGATAATTCTATGGTCATGTCTGAAACAAACAACGTGTCTTTTGTATAATGCATAAAACGCAGAAGGCATTGCGCGCGACTTTCGGTTCTGAAATCGCATAGAACTGATTATTAAGGCGCCTTATGTGTCTCATTGTTTAATCGACCTTCAAAGCCCTTCAGCGAAAACACGACGGCGACACGAAAGATACCAAAAAGTTTACGTGACCACTCAGCCGAATAAAGCCAATAAAATTAGGAAGGATGACAAAGCGAATTAAAAGGAACCAAAGTGAAATAAGAGGAATTAAAGTGAATTAAGAGTAATTAAAGAGAAGTAAGAGTAATCAATGACAATTAAGAAGGAATATAACGCAAATAAAGAGTAATCAAAGTGAATTAAGAGGAATGAAAGAGAATTAAGAGTCATTCATGCGAATTAAGAGAGCTTATAAAGCAAATTAAGATGGATTAAAGTGAATTAAAGGGAGCTACAGTGAGTTAAGAGTAATTAAAGGGAATAAACACAATGGGAAAAAAGAGAATGCGAAACAAAGTAAATGATTTGTCTGCCTTTAAGGCATCGGCGCTTGGGAAGTTGCCTTCAATTCGTCTCAGGGATAATTGTTCGAGTTGGTGGTGAATTTTAGGATAAAAATCCGCCTCCAAAGAACAACTGAGAAAAAAAAAAAACAAAAAAAAAAAACTGGACGGCATTGTGCGTTAGGCGAGCAATGGTGTCAAGTTATTCTTGACTATTCTTTCTCTTACAGTGCTGTCGGGTATTTTAAAATTTCGATATACGCTGCGCCACAGGGACCTAAAGAAACGTGACGCCTTGGCTGCAGGCGGTGCCAGCAGATGGATTTTCAATAAGCGGCTATTTATAGCCTACACAGGTATCGGATTTCTGCGCGTCTCTGTGGCAGATATACTTGTATTTAAAGTTGTTTTCTGGGTGTGCCGCATCAGGTAGAACTTCGCATTTCTCACTTTGCACGCAGGAATTCTGGGTTCAATACCGACCACGGCCCGTTTTGATCTGGAGGAGCACCGTACCGGCGCGCGGTCATGCATAGCTTAGTGATGCGCGTTAAGAACCCCAGGCTTGCAATGGTAATGCACTGGCTAAATTTCTCATATACAGCTTAGACACCAGGCGCCCTTTGAGGCTGACTAACTTCCAGCTGTCTAAAGATAAAAAACAATTACTTACACTTGCTCTACGCGTGGTTCTTATGACGCAGCTTCACCATTAACCCTGCTTTCGTGCCTCAACGGTGGGAAGATAAGTTTTATGAGGCTCGTTAAAGCGGAGATATCACTCTCGCGGTGTTCACACCGTCCCTTGATGTCAAAGCAAACGCGCCGAGCGGAAGGATCGTGCGCCCGGGTGCCATGGCAACGATTCAGTTTCTGTTTTTTGTTTGTTTCTTTTCCTCTTAATGATAAGAATAAGTTCACAGGTAAGCTTGTTTCAGGTTCGACTTAGTCTTTTTTTTTTCCTTTTATCCACCATACTCATAGGTGTTAAACATGATTTTCCAGACATGTGCAAGTTACTAAAAAAAGTAATTAAGTTAAGTTACTGAGTATTGACCTCAAAAGTAATTTGAGCAGAGTGGAAATAACTAAAATGAAAAGTATTTGATAAAATGGCTACTTACCGTAAAAAGTAGAAAATCACTTTTGAATTACATTTACGTGTTTATTATGGTAACAACAAAGTACATATGTTTTGATCTGTTATTTAAATTGTGCTTGCGAAATAAGAATCGCCTTGTTTTTTTCACAGAAATACTTTAACAGCTGGTTCTGCTTCTGCGTGCGTAATAGTTTTGTGCTTTTTTTATTGCTTGGTCAAAAATCTACTGCGAATGTGTATTTTATACTTTGAGGTTTAGCACTGCCTGAGCTTGATTTTTTAGACAGCGCTTTCTTGTTTACAGTGTTGCTTAAAGTACATCTAAAGAGTGCTTGAAGTTAAGTACAAAGTAAATGGGGAAATAAACTTCAATTAAAGTAGTAGGTATACAGGGTGCAATGTACTTGAAGTAACGTAATATAAATACAATTATTTAAAGGTAAAGTATAAGTATTTTAACACAATCTTTCATGATGCCTTCTCAATCCCTAGACTGTGTTTTTTTGTTTTTTTTAACTACAGGGGTAACCGGAGGTGCATCGATTTTTTACGGAAATAGCAGCAAATATTGGGTAAAGTCAAGTCGCCTGAGAGTACTTGTTTTACTCTCGCTGACTAGCTATTTCAACAAAGTCAACTCATAAGGCACTTATTTGTGTCGGTCTTACAGCCGCCAATTGCTTCACTCAGTGAAATGACGATATGACGTCTCGAAAGAGCGGGTTTTCAAACGACGATACGCCATTTTTTGCTTTCAAATTCGAGGAACGTATGTTGAATTCGGGAGTCCTACTTTCCTCGGAAAGTACCATAAAAATACTTTAGTAAAATACAAGTTTTCTAAACAATAGTACTTCAGGCACCATGTACTTAGAGTACTTTCCAATACTGCTTGTTCATTATTGTTTATATAAAAACGTTGGGGTAATTACTAAGTTTTATCGAACAATCTTCGAATCTTCAAAGATCTGCATATTCTGAATTTTGAAAGGAAAAACAACGCGAAGAGGTCACCTTTACGTTGCCCTTTAGCAAGCGATTCTTCGATTACAGCACAAACTACGGGAGCACCAGATGAGCTTCAGAGCGAATGCTGCATTTTTTTGCCTATTTTGAAGGAGGATGCAGTGTGTATATAATGCAATGAGCCAGAGCTCCTACGTTGGGCAGTAGCGAGGAAAAGCCCTCTTTTTGAAATCATCTAGTCTCCTTGAGCTCCCGGACACAAGGGAACGCGAGTCGTCGGCGCTGATCCCGCCGTTACTCGGCTTCACCTGCGACGAGTCTGTCAGCTCCCCGCGGCTCGTAGCAGGTTTGTTTCAGTGGTGTGTTCGTGAAAGTTTTAGGAGTTTTGAGACCCTTAAAGTAACTTCCTCCCCCCCCCCCTCCCTCCCGTGCCTAGGCCACAGGCTTACCCCTCTTTGCAAAAATTAGCTGATCTTCCATCTTATCACTTTCTGTGCAGGAATGGTTGTATTATGCAAACCTACTAGTGAAATTCGAAAGTAACATGCAACTTGAGTAGAAGTTACACAGAAAAAGTAATCAATGTAAACTACTAACAACCTAAATAATTTGAAATTAGTAGCTTACTAAGAAATGTATTTAACATACAGTACCTTGAGTAGGTTATTACTGCAATACGTACAAGCCTGCCTCAAACTAGGTAATGAAGGGCTGCAGCGCTTTCGTGACTTGCTCTTCCTCCTGCATTTTTGTTTCTTGAAGGGCTAAAAATTCAGGTTGCCGTTCGTGCAGCAACCCTAATGACTGCAAGTGTTTACGAGTATAATTTATACCTCTAATATTGAGTGTTTCCAGCGTTATATCACTAGTGGAAATAGTTGGAGATTTGGGTGCAGCCATTAGTCGGGTGGGGGAGGAGGTTTGGAATGAAACGCGATGTGCAACATCTTCGCACAAAACTTACATAATGCACAGCTATGGCGACAAGCACGAGCAACAAAAAAAAAATCACGAATCTCAGAAAATACATTGCTGAATTGTATTAAATGTGAACGTTACCCCCTACAGCCAGGTTTGCGCACGTCGACCATTCGGCGGTGCTCGGGGCTCGCCTTTCTTCTTTGCTTCGGTGAGGCCCCCCGAAATCAGGGTCTTCCTTCTGAATGCGATCCAGGGGCCACTTGGAGGGCTCGAAACTTCTGTCCATTTTTAAGTCGACATTGGAGGGATATTTTGAATGACGATCGTTCTCGTCGGCTGTCTTTATTTGTTTGCATTTTGAAGAGCCTGGGGCTGCACTGTCGACGTCTGTGCCGTTTACACCGCAGGCAGCTGACCTGTAAGCTTCGGGAATTGGTGCGGTGGTGTCGCTGGTGTCATAGCCTTGTGATATGCCTCGTTTTTGTACGGCTGAAGATGCTTCTGTATGGGTGCACGTGGTTGGGTGTCCAGTGCCGTCTTCATTTTTCGAAATTTCTTCGCGATGAAGAATTCCGAGTTGTCTTCCTCGGGGGCAGACCAGATTACGGTGGCGTAAGTGCGGATGCAGTCTTCATGCTCATGACCAAAACGATGGCCTTTGTCACATTGAGGGACGCAGAACTCTTTGCAGATGTGACCTGTCCTCTTACATCGGAGGCAGAGCGGTGCTATTTCGGGGACATGTAGTAGAACGTCGCTGCCTAACGGTCGCAGCTGCGCGGGAGGTTATCTTTGGTGACGCCTTCTTTCAGGTCTGATCTCCTCAGCCTTGTCGTTATTTGGACGTTCTGAAAGCCTTCCGCTGTCCAAGTGTATCGAGCTACTTCGTTCATCCTTCCGTAGGACTCGAGGACCCTCCCCACTGTTTCATCACTGATGTGAATCGGTATTCAGTGGAGCCGTATTGGCACCTCGTGCTCATTGGGATCGATGAACAGGCATCTTTTTTTTTTCACCGCAAGTTCCTCAGGTTTGAAAAGTTTGCGTTTCGCTGTCACAGATTTGAAAGCGAAAAGCCAGACAAGGTTTGTCTGGTACGCCCCGGCTCCAATGAACTCCGTGATGTTCCATTCCTACTCGGAAATCGTGAATATTGTGCGCTCATCCCGTGACGTCGCAATGAGCGAATACAGAGCTCAAGATTTGAACACCCGTAGGCCAAGTTGGCAGGAGCACACGGTAGGCAGCCTGGGACATTTCAGCAGATGAAACGCTCTGCCGGCAAAAGCCGTTAAAAACACTCCACGGTAAACCTTTTTTTATTTTTTTGCGACTATTTTGAACGGCGGTTTGCGCTTCTCTCGAACTAGGGAAAAACTGTAAAAAGTCTTCTTCATATAGTATTTTTTTTATAGATGCGGAGCATCTCTTGCTCGGGTCTAAGTCGCGCGGCGTCGTAGTCCGCACTCACACTACGCATGCGCAACTCTCCTCCTTCCCTCTCTCCAACAGCTCCGCGTTACTCTCTCCGCTCTCTCTCTCTACCAGCTGCGTGCACTTCGCGTGCGTTCGCTTCTACTCACACCGCGCGCGCATGCGCAACTCTCCTCCTCTAGTCTCCTCTCCTTCAAGTGTGAATACAAGCAGCGGTAGCGCGCTGCGCGCGTTCAATTCACCGCTGTTGACTCCACTTCACTCCGTTCTTCCGATGAAGTGTGATGGAAGCAACAGTCCCGTCAGTTAGTGGGTTGGCACAAGCAAGTGTCAGCACCACCCCACAAACTAACAGCAGCGCTACTTCCACTGAAGACAAAGCTGCACAGCGAAGGGCACGGGACGCTGAGCGTAAACGCTTGAAGCGAGCGGCAGACCCTGAACTACGGCAACGAGAAGGCGTCCATTCGTCAACGTCGAGCGGCGGGTGCTGAACTACGACAGCGTGAAGCAGCGGCCGTTCGAGAACGTCGAGCAGCAGAACCTGAGGTTCGGAACCGTGAAGTTCAACGTAAACGTACAAAGCGAGCGGCGGAACCCGACCTTCGAGAACGGGAAGCCGCGTTGGTTCGTAAACGTCGAGCAGCAGAACCTGAGGTTCGGGACCATGAAGTTCAACAACGTTACTAACACCGTTAATAACACCGTTAATAACAATCCGCGATGCTCCGCATCACCCCGTGGTTCCCCTCGGGAAGATGGTGTAATTTTGTAACACTTAATGCTTATTGCACGCGCTCTCTGGAAAAAAGAAATAGCGGATAACCAAATCTAAGATAATGCTAAAAGCTCGTTCCGGGATACGCCCTTTCACGCGCTCCGGAACAAAAAAGAAACAAAAGCGCTCGGGACAAAACGAGACAAAATCAAAAGCGTTCGGAACAGAAGATATGTATATTTTGTTCAGAACGTTTTTCCTCACGGTGCGTGAACTCAACGGTGATGCCCGACGACTTCGCCGAGACGCCGAGACGAGACTGTACTGTTAATTATCCCAGATCTTGGCTTGTAATTTGGTCGCCTTCGCACGCATTTTTTTTTTCACAGAAAAAGAAGTCCCTTTGTCTCCAACTGCGAGATGAACTTACCTAGCCGTGGGCTCCCGCAGGGAATTTGGATGACACGAATTTTCCAGGTCCTCTGTGTGACATTCGGCGCCAGAGACACGGACAACTGCACCGGTCCCGCCGACTGGGTCACACTCACGTACACTGGGATAACGGGACAAGATGCAGAGGGCGTAAATGCACTGACGATGTGAGGAAGACCGTAATAAAACTACGAGAGATTTCAGATACCGGACGAGCCATTTGTTATAGTTGAGGTTTTAATATAGTAGGTGAAATGTTTAACTTCACTGCTGTGTTCCTTAATGAGCAAGATTTGTAGACAATATTAGAGAAACTTGGGATCGTTTGGTCGTTTTCATGGTCGTTTCTCTCCTCGAATGAAATTTGCTACCTCATTTGAGGTCATCAATTTTCTTTTATACTTTATATGATTTTTTATGTTTTATTTTACAAAAGTGCACGATTTTTATCACATGATCAATATGTTGACCTTTAGTGTTAGGCTAGTTCAGGTATCTTCAAAACGTACGGATAATAAGAAACAGGTGGATTTTATACGCACGACACAAGCTTATGGCAAAAAAAAAACTTGAACAATTTTTTTTCTTACTTAATGTAACATTCTGATCAAACTGTCCGACGCAACACAGTTTAGCTAAGTGAAGGAAGGAAAGACGTATAGTTTAATCACTCTGCTGTTTTTAGGCTGTTTCATTTCTGAAGTAAACTGTTTCGGATTTTAATTCCAAAACAATTAATCCGTCTCTTAGCATATGAGAGGTGACCACGGTGGACGAGTAATCTGCCGGATTCAGTCGCCCTTCTGCTATTGTCAACCCTATCGAATACCATTGAGGTCGTGTAACGAAAACGGACGGCCAGTCGACCAAATTTTTGTCGGCAGCTGACAAACATACATGGTGCACAATGAGCTCTTTGATGCGCATCAATTCATGACACATTAAACTCTCCAAACTGAGCCTGGCACAATAGCATTCTTGATGGCTTCCCGAGTGCTCCAGGGGGAGAACACGGGCACAAATCATGATGCTTAAACCCTGAGACTGGGAAGGAAACTTGAAAATATATTACAAAAAAAGAAGGACGATGACAGATAACGTCCCTAGATGAACGCTATGCGGTGTAGTGACAATACCTCCTCCCCCGCCCTCCTGCCCTCGCTCCTGTCTTCTGCTAGCGCGCGGTCTGCCATGTTCTTCCTAGCTCGCCCACCATGGCTGTGCTCGAAAACTTCCAAGTTTCTCGGGCGGGTCACGTCACGTGACAATCCAGATAGAATAACCCTGGACGCGGGTAGGTTTTCAAACGCTAAGGTATTAAACCGTTACTTGAAAGTGAGGGCGAGTCAAACCCGCCGTGTTCTTCCGTACCGGAAACCGAACGCGGGCACGGAGCAATACGAGAGCACGCCGAAACATTAATCCCTTTCACTACTTAGCACTCGAGGGTCTTTTTGTGACAGACATTTCGTCTGTCACCTTTCGTCTCGGGGGATCGGTGGCCGAGTGGGCTAGCGGACACCACCTCGGAGCACGCGGAGCGAGAGCTCGCGTTGCAGTACCCAGGGATCTTGGGTTCAATCCCTACCCCTGCCCGTTACTATTTAAAGGAGCATCGTACCGGCGTGCGGTCGTGTACCACTACTACATGGAGCACGTTAAAGACCCACTCATAGCGATTGTACTGCTCTGGCTAAATATCTCATCTACAGCGAGTGACTCGTCGCAACTTTGAAATGGCTGACCAACTATACGCTGTCAAAATGTCCACACAACCCGAATTTACCTTTCGAATGTTTCTTCTAATATATTTTCAAATTTCCTTCCAAGCTTCAGGGTTTAAAGGGAGCCTGAAAGGCGTTTCTGTCTATTAATTTTATTTGCGTCGCGTTCGCTCGGGCTAGTGTGTGGGACTTTAGCGACACATTAAAAATAAGATAAAGAGGAATTTATGTGTATTCTTTAACATAATAGGTGACGGAAATGCAAAATTTTGAGCAAATTTTCTATTGTTGATGACGTTCTTGGAGTTAACCAATAGAGAACCGAAACGACCATAGCGTGCAACAGCCATGCGCGTTCTTCCTAATTGCTTGAATTAACATCCAGTTACGAAGATGTGAACGCCTCACCGATATACGGGTGTTTTAAGCAAAAAATCACGCGCTTGAAAGGGTCAAAAGAAGTCACGTGCTTTTAAGCCGACGGCTGAAATTGGAAAACAGCGCACAAAAAGACGAAGACGACGAGAGAACACGGGAAACAGCGCACAAAAATTAGCACAACTTTGCCCGCGCGTAAACCAGGTAAGCAGTAACAAGATGTCATGTACTGTTAAGCATGTCAACAAGTTCGTGGATTGCGTTGTGGGTGTCATCTACAAAATTCCATTGTCATGCGGACGGGTTTACATAGGACAATCGGGACGCTGCGTCAACGAGAGAATGCGTGAGCATGCGAATTCCCTGCGGTCAATGACCGGAGGTCACTTGTACGTACATTGCGGAGACTGCCAGTGTCACCCCGTCTTCCAAAATACCTTAATCATTGGCAGGGGCGCACAAAAGTGCAAAGAGAGGTGCTGGAGGCGCATGCTATCAAAAAAGCTGGCGCGGGGCACTGCGTCAGCCATCCTTCTGTTTATCGTCACAAAAAAGAGACAGATTTTATAGATGACTGGTGAGCGACACGCCATTGGTTGTTTCGGCGTTGGTTGACTGTGTGGTGTTTTCTTGTTTGAGCCGTTTTTTAATAAAACTTCAGTTGATAGTCAGCGCTTGTCCTGTGCCTTTCTCTCGTCGTCTTCGTCTTTTTGTGCGCTGTTTTCCAATTTCAGAAGTCATGAACCAACTCGCTTGCATCGCCACCTTAAGCCGACAGTACTACATCTAGAATTCTATGCCGTCATTATCCGACGTGCTAGACGAATGACGTCACAAAACACTGAAAGTTGACACTGAAAGGCACGAACTTCGAAGCAGCATTTGGTTTTATTCATCCTTTTGCAGTGTCCATTTGAACATGATGATTAATACTCACCAGCTCGACTACAGCTTGACCATTTTTTTCAGGAGGGTAAGGGTATTTGAATATTACCGGTGCCATTATTTTGTATTTCTTTGGTTCGGCTAACTCCGGCAGCTTAGTCAACATCCTGCATTGACGACGTGAGTGATCGAAAGCGTCGCTGTGTTCGGCCTTTCACGATTGGCCGAGTGCTGAGTACCACGTTTTTTGTTTCCTCTTATTATGTTCGCTTCACCTCCTCGCTGCCACAGGGGGACAGGTTCTTGTCCGTTTATGTGCTACTGTGTCCCTCTCCAGTAGCATAGGCCTTTGCGGACGCTTGTCAACCCCGGTTCAGTGGCTCGGCACCTTGGAGAGACAAGAGAAGGTCGGAAATGGCGGCCCAACCAGGCCCGTGTTTAAACGACGCCACCTAGGTGAGCAGAAGGCCTCCGCACCGTCCTCACACTGAAATCGACCGAGGCTTGAGTTTGGGCGCGAGTGCTGCGCCAATGTTCGGCCAGGGCTCGTGTTCAAGCAGCGCGTCGAGGGTCGGACTCGGGCCTAATAGCCGAGTTCGCGCTATCTGACTGTGACGAAGTTTCATGAAGGGAGAGGAGGCGAGGCGGAGGCTTTGATTACTCTAGGTGGTGTTATACCGCCGCCAGGCGGGCTAATTTAGTGCACTTCAACCAAGTACACTTCGCCTTTAGTGTCATTTCTGTAGTGTGCCACAGTGCTTCTTCCTGAGGAGCATACTTGGCTTAGAGTGAGCATAACGATCTCACTTCACTCGATCAAGCGCGTGGCATCGATACCTGTGTTCAGCAGTAAAACATAACAACATAGAAACCAAAAACCTGGCGCAAATTTTATTCGATAAAAAATAAGAAATTCGTGAAAGAGAGGACATAGAAGAGTGGCATTGCAAAAAAATAGGCGGGTGGACTTGGAATTTAGGCTGATCTGTACCAAGATTAGCGCCGCGGTGAATTGATGAAAGACGACAGCAAAGTCAGTCTTTCCAAGGCTATCTTGGTTAGGAGAGAAGGATAGTGCCTAGTTTTGTTTCCGCATGTAACTATTTGAGACAACACGATAATTATGATGTAATTAGACAGGGGCAGGTCTTCTTCGCAGACTTTTGTGGGACGAAGCGGAACGCCAAATTTAGATACGCTTTTTTCTTTATCTAGGCTTGCGATGATCGATTAGAATGATGCAATTGGTGTAAAAAGCGTTCATTAATGTAACGCTGTTTTAGAGCGCAGCTCTTAGGCGTCCGTTCCCGGGTTGAGTGGCGTCGGCGTTGGCGTCGGCGTAACCGCGCTTTGCATTATGGGATGGTTCTCAAAATGATGCCACACGTGACATCACGAGGGTAAAATTTTCCCGCTATATTTGTCGGGAAGTGTTTTCGCATAATTTGGCGAGCATTTTTTTGCTAAATTTCGCGGGAAAATGTTACCCTCGTGACGTCACGAGGGTTTCTCTAGAAAAGAAATGACTAATGAACACGGTGAGGGAGTTTCTGGAGTTAAACTTAGTAAAGTTTCAATCTGAGTCGGGATTGTCGGTAAAAGGCTTCCTTGCGGTATTGGATCTGTATGCACAGTCGACTGTTCTAGAATTGCAAGGTCAAAGATATGTGCAAAAAGAAGGCGTATGTATAGGCTCCCCGGTCGCGCCCATTTAGCTAAAATTCACCTCAGCAGCTAGGACAGAGTTGTGTATGACAAAATGAAGGAAATGACACCAGATGTAGGATTCGTCAGAAGGCATGTTGATGACATCATTATTTGCATGTTTAAGGACGGTTAATGAGAATCTACAGAAACTCTAGTAAGATCGGCGGCCCCGGAGCTACAGTTCACCTGAAGAAAGAGTGTTACAATTCTTGGATATAAGCGTTCATGTTAGGGATAGGTTGTGCTCGGAGGACGTGAAGATACCGCAAAATTAAGGTCCTTTCCAAACATATATCTGTCATTTAAAGGTCGTCATGGCTTGAGTGGTCATGTCTCTAGTAAAAAATGCGCTGGATGGGTCCTGGGCCCATTACACGAATCAAGCTGTACAGAGACAGTGGAGGAGACTAGAAGATGCGGGTTATCA